TATAATAGTTAGATATTTTGAAATAAGGTAAACGTTTATAATTTAAATATATGAATAGAATAATAAGGTTATTAAGATAAAGAGATCTATTTCTTAAATATCTATACCACCTACCAGATTGAACGGCAGGAAATGAAACATCGATCACAAATAAATAGACAAGTGGTTGAGGTGGCCGAACCTTTATATATGAAACAAGATGAGTATTAAGAAATGTGATAATCTAATTTACAAAATTGGTTCTTCATATCTACCATATATTCCGTAGGTGCCACAAATTCAACGACAGCGTGGTTTAATTCTGCTCGCTTCCACCGATTTGCTTGTTGACTAGTTTGTAAATCCCAATCAAACTGTGATGGTACTATAAATGACATTTAACGTTAGATTATATATAAAGCGATGAATAAAATCGAGTTTTATGATATTACCTTCGTTTAATAGGAAACATAAATTACATCTCCACTTTTGTCCACCTTCAACGAAAGTAACAAAAGGATTAATATAAGTTCTGCATCTTCTGCATCTTGCAATAACAGTGTCTGTAACCACTGGAATTGGATCCTATAATTATTTTGACAGAAAATTAATATAACCAGCTAAAATATAAAGGTTAAGTAGTATAATACTCACATCGCCTTCTTTCAAACTTCTATAAGGGGTGATGACAAGACCAAGTGGCAATCGGGATTTGCTGAGAAGGCTTGGTGTAGCAGGAACTGAGTTGAGGGTACATCGTTTATAAGATGGATCGCAATTCGCTTTGTCCGATGGAGTGACAGATGTCTTAAATCAGAAAAAGTCGGTGAACATTGACAATGCTCAACACCACACTATTTTATTGGGGTGCTTTAAAGGAATAATTGATTGATGTATATTGATACTTACGTTAGGCGGTAGGTTAATAGGTGGTGGTGGTGCATCCAGATCTACAACATTCGGTAGAGTACCAACCAAATTAACGGTAACAATTGGTGCCTTTATTCAAAATATGATTGTTTTTGTAAATTAATCTTATCAAGTTCGAAATTAGTGCGAAAATAATTTTATGCACCTGTGAATGTCCCACCAAATTCATATTATTTAGTTGACTCGTCAAACCAGAAATTGGAGCATTCATTGAAGGTTGTTGTGTATATTGTTGAGCGTAATAAGCAGGCGTCGTCGGAGACACCGCTGCCTGATAGTTCTGATTTCCAGCAGGAGTAAAGAATTGAGGCTGTTGATATGTATTCTGCTCAACAACCGGTGGTTGTATCTGCTGCCCAACGTTACCAGGAGCTACCGCAGGAGTAAAAGCTTGATATTGCCCGCCATATGTGTTAGGATCTACATACGCCTCTGAGATTTGCTTTGGATATAAGCGTTTCGGTTTATGACTTGTCGAGGGCGGCGTTTGAGAACGTGGACTTGTTGGAGAACCAGGAGTGGGTTGATTTGGAGAGGTTCCTCTTGGTATTTGTTGGTTTGGATCTGTAGCCTGCATCGGACGAGAATTTGGAGACGAAGGAGGGGGACGAAAAGTTGGAGACTGGCTAGGTGGAAAGTTGGACATTTTTTTTGCGTGTTTTAAAAATTGAAGTCGAATTTACATAAATTCTAATGTACTCGGAAATGCCGGTCACAGCCAAAAATTATTCGATTTCCCGGCAGCCCTAAAGGAATTATCCACCTATCAAATTTGCCCAAGTGGCACATAATCCTTTTCCCACGGGACAAGCCTTACTATTTTTAGATCCAGAAGGCACATGTATACATACGTACGAACGTACAGTACGTATTTCTAATGTGAATATAATTCACTTAATTTATTAGTAGCTACGATTATTGTCAATACTAATAAAATTTTTTGCAAAGTAAAACTTGCAACTCTAATAATTCAAATTTAATAATGTTACGTTTAAATTTCTGATACTTTGGTAGGTATTTTTGGTTTTTTTATTATCGTTATAATTATTGCAATTTGCAAAAAGTAAAGTACAATAACTATTACGTATTAAATAATGGTTTGTTGTACAATATTAAAGTTAACGTTAACAGTTAATTTCTTTTAACACACTTTTGTTATTACAGTATTACTGTATAAAAATAGGGACATGTGAAGTGGTATCGATGTAAAGGATTTTTTTAAAGTAGTTTTTCGTAGATGCGAATACGTATCCTTATTATCGGTAATGGATAGATCCGTAACTCTCTTTATAGCATCCGTTCTATGAACTAAAAATTTACAATATCGAGAGTTCTATTAATAAATTTACTATCATATATCGAGAGAATTTTATATAACTTAGATTGGTTTTGAGAAAGATTTTATTACATCAAAATTGAGAGTTTACCATAACGAGAGTAATTTGAAATTCGCTTCGATTTAGATTCGAATTATCAACCGGATAGGTCCGAATTTAGTCCTAATAGTTTCTGACAAATAAGATCGATCGAAACACTAAATTAAAGTAGAAAAATTTTCATCACATACCAAATATTCCGTGACAGTCAAAACGTATACAGTAACATTGGTTATAGGCCTATTCATAAATAAAAAAAAACTTTATTCGTTATTATATTAATAAAAAAATTTAAAAACAATAAAAAAAAAACAAAAAAAAAAAAAAAAAAAAGAAACACTTGGTTTTGGAGATAAAAAACTCCTACTTTTTCCAAACACCACGAAGAGGGGTGGTTTATGGCTGGAA